ATAATGCGTGTTGGAATGTCGAGAAGTATCATAATATTGGGAAGTATCAAACACGGGAGTTAAGTTTTTTGAAGTGTGATCGGTACATCATAGTAATAAAAAATTACAATATTGATTTGTCTATTTGATATGGATTTGGCTTGACTCTCTCAATCTTGGGTTATCTGGTACCGAACAAAGATAAATGGACAGGAAATTATCTTGTTCTGGTGTGATGCTTTGGTTAGTAATAATTATCGATAAAAATGCTCCAAAAGAGTGAAAAGGAGAGACAGGGAATGCACCCCTTTACAATAAGCATACGTTGTATTTATAGCTATTTTAATATGTATTTGAATCATTATATTTTATATTTAAAGTAACTGACAATAAAAAAATACTTAAATAGTTGCCATATTGGCGCCTGGTAGAACGGCAATATCCGCACCGACATGCATGTTGGGCTTTCAACCCAGTCATTAATTATTGACACAGGACATTATGAAGTTTTTGATTTTTTTAAAGAAAAAATGCCTACTTTTCAACTATATTTTTTGGGTACATTTCAACTATATATTTGTTTTTTTACTATGTTATTCTACTTACTATTTTTTGTGTTTTTTATTTCTCTTTTCTATTGAGATTCTGATCTAACAGTATTGAAAGGTGATAGGAACAGATAGACAGAAAAAATAGTAGGTAGGATAACATATGCCATATTTCTTAAGTATTTGGATGAGTTTGACCTAAAAATAATAGTAATGATTGAAAGTAATAGTTAAAATTATATTAAAATATATGTACATGTATGATAAATTATTAAGTTATTAAAATTTAATTTTCAATTTTCAATTTTTTAAGTAATCATTATAATTCTACATTTTATTTTTTAAAGACTTTACAAAATTCTTATTAATAAGTATCAAGTTATGAAATATTTGTGTCGCAATAATACAATATAACTATAATTGTTTCATTCACGTGAGTGGACTCCACCTCCAATTTTTTAATTCTTGGAATCTACTAATATACATGATGCAATGGGCAGAACGAATCATCCTAGGTTTATAAGTTATATATTATTATTTTATTTTGCATGTTAATCTCACGGTCAGCAAAAATGAAACTTATAAATATTTTATATTTCAAATATTTATAAGTTTCATTTTTGCTGGCGGTGAGAGGTAGGATCTTTGATACAAATGTCAAATTTAAAGTTTGACACTTTATCTGAGAGTCGTTAGATAAAAAAAATTAATGATGTTACATGCTTACAAATCAGAGTCATTGATCTTTTTTGATCTAATAGCTCTCAGATAAAATGTCAAATTTTAAATTTGACACTGGTATTAAAAGATCCTACTCCATATATATATATATACATATATATATATATATATATATGGTAAAATCATTTCTCCGGCTGTTTGATGTGTATGATTACATTCCCCATATTATTGCTTTCATCTATTATATGATTATAATTTTTCACATTTAATGTTGTCATCTATATATATATGGTAAATAATTAACTGCTGGACGTCAAGTGACTAGAGAAATATAAACCCCTATATATATTGAGAAATGTATTCTTATATTGTATAAAATAGTTTTATTTCATAAAACACATATAAAATAAACCAAACTTATTTTTTTATTTTCTATCTTTTCTTTAATGGATCTCACGCATCTACTTTTTGATGTGTTGAATAAAATAAATTATCTCAAAACGACAATTATATTTGCCATATATATTATATGGGTAACGAAGTTCTCATGTTGCATAAGAGGAGGATAAATTAATTCCTACTCACTCATCGATCCATGTGTTTCTACTTTTTTGGTATTTTTTCTCTCTCTCATAATAGGTCCCACTTTAATTGAGTATGCATAAATTTTTTTTTTGATTCCTATCACATGAAAAATATAAAACCCATATTATAAAATAAAACTTGATATTGGTTCCATTAGTTAGAGCCGTCAGTTTTGAATTGACCCGACAAGCTGACGATTAAGCGTTACCTTTTCTACACCTCTAATCTTTATCATGCATAAATTAATTAGTATATAAAATTATTTTATATACACAAAAAATAAATAAATGAGACTTATTATTTATTTATTTATTTGTGTATAAAATAAAAATTATCTGATATAATACGAGAAGTAAATTCTCCTGATTCATATTCCAAATGTTTAGAGATAAAGCCGCAACAATAATTTTTAATGTACATAAAATGATATTAGAATACAATGGATTTGAACAGTGTTTCAAAAGAAAGGAGAATGGTTATTTGATAATTTTCCATAGCCACCACACCACTTCAAATCACGGACTTCCTGTAAGGCATACTGTATCAAAGAGATACAATATGTTTTTCCTGAAAAAGACAAACACATGAAAAGTAACCACATAAAAATAAATAAATGTTATGACTAGTACTTTTCAATTTTTTCGAAGATTCGGTATACGTCTTCCAAATAAAATTCCAAGGACTCAATTATTATAGGACCTTATTATATTAATTTGTTAATTTATTTTGTAATTTTTTAAATTTTTCTTAAATTTTTAAATAAGTTTTTATAATTCAATTTATATTTTTAAAAATATTTAAATAAATCTGTAATCATTTATTGTTATTAACTTTTCTTAAATTCTATGTATTTATTTAAAGTTTTAGATAAATCATGGAGATTTATTCAACTGTGATAACTGTTAAATAATTTATGATTAATCTAACTTTTTAAATAAGTCCCTATAATTTAATAAAATTTTACAAATGTCTTAATTTTAATTTATTCTTGCACAACTTACGAAACGAATATTCTTCCAAAAAGGGAGAAATATTTTTGTTATTATTGTAAAAAAAACTATCACATTTACATAAAAGTGAATGAGTCTTATTGTAAAGAAAAGAGTGAGAAAACATTAATGAGACCGAGTAACTTTTATGTAAATGTGATAGATAAATTTTTTTTACAGCAAAAACAAAAACATTAAATCCCGAAACAAAACCAACCCAGCAAAATTTACGCATATTTAAAATTTGTTAAAAATATTAATCCTTTTTTACGGTAAGAATTTTATAACTTTTTATCTTTATATATATTTTTATCTCTTATTCCTTATTACTATTGACTTATTCTTGTATAGTTAGATCTTCCAATATGATATTGTCATATTAAATAATACATTAGAGAATTCACTCCCATCCCATGCACTATAGCTTTATAAGTTTTGTTTCTCATGCATTTTATGAGTTATTTTAAATTCTGTAATCAAAATTTGTATTTTAAAAATTTTATGATTAAAATATTCTAAAGAATTTAATTTATTTTTTAAAATATAAATAAACTAATTTGAACATATTTTCACCTTACAATATATAATATAAATACTTATATTAACATTCAATAGTTGTTTGACTTAATTTTACTTTATTTGGTAATGGTAATATAATAATTAATCAATAATATAAATTTAGGGTTCGCTTTTTCTGCATTAACTGCAGATAAGTTATGTGCAGTAAGTCCAATACAATGTCGTTTTGAGGCATAAATCATGGTATTTTTGTAATTCAAGGTTATAATAGTCTTTATATTTATAATTTTTTAAGATTTCAATACCAAAACGACGTCGTTTTGGGAATAAATGCAGATAACTTATCTGCATTAACTGCAGAAATATTTTTCCCATAAATTTATATGTGAAATTTAATGTTTAAATGAAAGTAATTAAAAAAAGAAATATTTTAATCTATTATGGCATTTAAATTACCTTTTGTATAGCATGTGAAACTTACATATTTTTTATTCTATTGTTATTTTATAAGTTTATCAATAATTTTTCAACTCCGTCTTAAATATATAATTAATAATTGATAATATATAATATCATAAATTATTTCTTTGTATTTGATAAATAACAAAAGGAATTATAGTTAACTTCATTAGTTACTCCTCATTATAATAGTATAAATATTTATAAGAATTTAATGTTTTTCTTATTACATGAGATAAATTTATTTTCTATTATCCCATAATAACATTATTTTAAGTTGTGAGAAAAAATTATAACGATAAAGATAAATATAACTTCAGAATAAATTAAAATTATAAAAATATTTTTTTTTCATTCCAAAAATGATATCGTTTGAAAATTACATGACAAGAGAAATATTAAACAGTATATAAATATGATTTTTTTTGGTAACTGATCCTAATTACTTCTTTGAGGCGAATCAGAACTCTCGGTATTCCCACGGATTCGACTCTTTGAGCCACCTATGAGATTAATTCAGAGTTCGAGTGCGAAGTCCTCTCCCACTACTCAGTTCCTATGCTACCAACTGAGTCACCACACTTGGGTAAATATGGTTTTTTTTCCCCTCATATTTAAGCTTTGTTCAGAATTTTCGTTGGTATGAACCGTTTTAAACTACAATATAATTTTAGCTTATTGTTAATCTAAATTCTTTATGCCTCAATAAATAAGAAATAATTTATCATCAACTAAACTCTTTAAATTGAGAAAATTTGTTGTTATTGTGTCATATCATAATTAAGATGTTCTCTTGGTGCAAGATAGGTTCAAAACTGTAGTTAAAGGGAAGATAAGTTGAAGTTGTGATAAAAGAGACTTTATTTACCAAAATAAAATAAAAGAGACTTTATTTACCAAAATAAAATAAAATAGACACTTTATTAATATTCCTTAAAAAATCTTGTTGGGTTAACTTCGAGCATTTGGTACAAGATATTTTTTAAGATTTTCAGAAAATTAAATTTTTTTAAATTTTAAATTTTGAAATATTATTATAAACTAAATATTTTCATCGTATTTCTAAAATTTGAGATTTTATGATAAAATTATTTTTCCTCCATCAAACCTCCCCTAGTGTTATTGTGCATACATGAATAATGAATTGTATCGAAAAAGCAGGCCTGCATAAAAAAATTGAAATAAAATATAATAAAGTTGGAGACTGAAGAAGAAGCTTTTGGCAACTGGTTGGAGAAGAAATTATAAAGTAAAAATCTGGGTGCTGTGGCTCGTTGTTGTTGAATTCATTTTTTTATTTTTCTCATCATTTCTTCTTATAAGACCAACCCATTTCTCTCCTTCTTCTCATCTACCCTCATGCTTCCTGTTACTCTCTCTGCATAACACAACAACATAGTTGATAGGTTCCCCTTCTTCTTTCTCCGAAATATTCTGTTTTCTTGGTTCCAAAATCTCATACCTCCATTGCCTTAATACATGGCTCCATCTACCCTCTCAGGTTTTGTCATCTTTCTTATCTCTCTCTCTTTCACTGCCCACCTTTTTTTTTTTTTTTTTGTGTTCTTGTTTTGGAACATTTAGTTGATGCCTTCAAGGAATTTGTTTGGAATTATATTTTCAAGATAAAGATTGTATCTTTGAAGGTTTATTTATTTTTTGGATGATGGGTTTTGCTCTTTCTGGGAGTTGTTTTACTGAATCAGATTGGAGATCTTTGTTAAGTGTGTTGGTCTTAGTTTTTTTTTTTGCTGATTGGATGCGTCATGTTATCTTTTTGTCAATGTCTGTGTTTGTTTCCTATGATTGAGAAATGGTCCCTTTGGTTTGATTTCCATGATTCCATGCAAAGGGACAAAATCATGATGATGGGGTCTTTCTTTAATCACTGCTGATGTTAGCATTTGTATGGTGTTTGTCTGTGGCAGTTCATGTGAAAAATATGATTGGAATTATTATTTATTCATTTATTATTTTGGGTGGGAGAGGAGGGAATGAATGAGCAAATTTTTTTTTTTTTGGGGTCATATATTCATGGGATCTGTGTGATTTAGGCCAGGGCATGTGAGCTGACCTTGCATTAGGACCAGAAATTTGGAAAGTATATAATTTGAACCAATGATGCACTTGAATGTCATGTTTGCTAACGTTTTACATGTAATTTTCTAATTCAAATACCACCTGTACTCTTTTTAATCTTTGTGAATTTTGGTAGACGGAAAGAAAAGGCACATAGCAGAAAGCATATGAGTTAACTCTTCTAGTTCTCACCAATAAGCAGATGTAATGTTTTATTGTATGCCTCATACAAATACACTAAGGATATTCAATTAATCATCCTATCAATTAATCAATGCCTCCTTATCTTATGACAGTATCTTGAAGGGTTCACTTTTTTTACGTAGTTCTCTGTAGTTAGATTGTTACTAGTGAAAAAGTTCTGAAACCATGGTTCATGTTGGTCTGAAGCCACTGCTTTTTTGCAGGTAAATCCAATGATCTCACAAAAGAAGATTGCAAAGAAACAAGTTCACTCGTTGTTTGCTTTGGGGAAATGTTAATAGACTTTGTGCCAACAGTGGGAGGAGTGTCACTAGCTGAAGCACCTGCTTTCAAGAAAGCTCCTGGTGGAGCTCCTGCCAATGTGGCTGTTGGTATCTCTAGACTTGGGGGTTCATCTGCTTTTATAGGCAAGGTGTAGTTTTCAATCAATGTCTATTGATCCAGTTAATTATTTGATTTCTTCACTTTCTTGATACTATCTATCTGCTCATTCTCATTGAAGCTTTTGTTCAAATCTTAGTATTTAGGCATATTTGTTATATGCATTGTTTTAAACTGAATATCCTTTCTCAAGAAGGTTGTTCTTGTACACCTGCCCTAAGGAATTCAAAAAAGAGGGAAAAGAATGACAGAGAGGAAAGAAAATGGTTGCTTGAACTACTAGAATATAAAATCATATCTTAATTCCTTACCATTTGTGTATTAGGTTGGAGCAGATGAATTTGGGTATATGTTGACTGACATTTTAAAGCAGAACAATGTTGATACGTCAGGTATGCGGTTTGACTCTAATGCAAGAACTGCATTAGCTTTTGTTACACTAAGAGCTGATGGCGAGCGTGAGTTCTTGTTTTTCCGGAATCCAAGCGCTGATATGCTTCTTCATGAGTCAGAACTTGATAAAAATCTCATAAAGCAGGTGTTTTGAATTTCTGTTTGTATTTTATGAATGTGATCCAAGACATGTGGTTTAAGTCAGGATATTCACAATATTAATTTCAGGCTAGAATATTCCATTATGGCTCCATCAGCTTGATTGATGAGCCATGTAAATCAGCTCACCTTGCTGCTATGAACATTGCCAAAAACTCTGGTTGCATTCTCTCTTATGATCCGAATTTGAGATTGGCACTATGGCCATCAGCAGAGGCTGCTCGGAAAGGCATAATGAGTATATGGGATCAAGCTGATGTCATAAAGGTATAATATATGTGACTAGGAGATTCTTATGTGATCTCCTTTATAAATGCCACTATACTAATTGGTTAAATTTGCCTTTTATTTTTTTCATACTTCTATTTTAGATCTGATGTGGTATTTTCTTATGTATGTACAGATAAGTGAGGATGAGATTACATTTTTGACTGGAGGTGATGATCCTTATGATGATAATGTTGTATTGAAGAAACTTTTTCATCCTAATCTCAAGCTTTTGATCGTTACTGAAGGGTCAGAGGGTTGTAGATATTACACCCAGGTATGTTTATGAAAGCCATTTGACTATGATGTCACATGTCTCATTGAAAGAACAGTTTCTTGCTTCACCTTTCCTTTGTTTTGTGCGGTTGTATGTGCTTGTATCTATAACATATGCCCCTTACTCTATTGTGGGTTGAATTAATGGTTGTGACTTGTGGGTGTGAATGTACTAATGTAACTCCAATACTCCATCTTCTTGTCATGTACTCAATGACTACTAGCAGCTAGTAAAACTGATAAAGTTTTCTTTTTAGAATTCACCCATGTTGCTTTTCTTTTGCCCCTGTGAATCATTGTTCATCTGATTGTGATTGCCATATTTCTGTGCAGGAATTTAGGGGCAGGGTTGCAGGTGTTAAAGTTAAACCTATTGACACAACTGGTGCTGGTGACGCATTTGTTAGTGGGATTCTATACAGTATAGCTTCTGACCAAAGTATTCTTAAGGTAATTTTAAATTTTGATTCATTCCTGTTGCAGATTAAATTGTCCTTGCTCCATCTGTATGTCATGGACTAAAAATTTCATGAGCCTCATTTTGACATTGTGGGTTTTCTGCTTAATTTCCATTGATGTTGATGCTGGAACCTGGATAATCGTGCAGTCTTGTTGTTTACTCATGTTCTAAAGTATTATAGGGACAGAGAAAGTCATGAATGTTTTATTATGTGTATTTTATTCCTTTTATTTAAGAGGGCGAGTCTGTGGCGGTGGTAAAGCTGCTCCTTTGGGACTTAAAGGTCATGGATTCGAATATGGAAAATAGTCTCTTTAAAAATATACAACCCTACTCTTGCTAGTCAAGGTTTAACGGATAATGGTGTTATTTTTTCCTTCTAGTTCATTTTCCTTATTTTTTCACTTATATTGAGAAACTGCAGTTGCAAATGGAATTGAATTATCATTTCCTGTTAATAGCTATTCAGGATTTCCATTTCAAACTTAAATTCAAGAGTGTTTTACACTGTAACATGCATTCTGTTGGAAGATGTCCTTAAGCTACACATTTATGTAATAATTAAGTACACCATACTATTCATGTGAACAGTGCTACATAGAAGTTTTATTATGGTAGAAGGTGTACTTAAACCAGATGCATACTCATTATTCAGTGGCATACTGTTTAGGTGCTCTGTGCAAGATAAAAAATTGTTAGTTGACACTTTTTAAGTGTTTCCTTCATGTTCTGAAAGAGAAAATTTGTAATTTACATTCTTTTAAATCAGAACATAAAATCTTACTTTGGCATTATGACTCAGTCAATTTAACTATATAGTATATACTATCTTCATCATTTAAATTAGGAAATTATACATTTATTTTGGTTGGCAGGACGAGAAACGTCTCAGAATGGCTCTATATTTTGCTAATATATGTGGTGCCATCACTGTAACTGAGAGAGGTGCAATTCCTGCACTACCTACAAAGGAAGCTGTCTTGCAATTCTTACTAGAAGCAGCTACAATACAGCAAAACTGAAAGTTTTTTTGGTTATAAATTGTTGTTAAGCTATAGCATAGGTGATGCTGAGCCTTTTTCATTGGCCCTGTATTTTTCTTATATAAATTCAAGTTGTGTCTTGGTCTCTCAAGTTTTGGCTGGTAACAGCTGAGCACACAAAAATTAACCGTTCAGGTTGAAGTGCTCTAGATTTAAGATTTGTAATAATAATGAAAGCTATTCAGTTAGAGTCAAAGAATCAAGAAATGTTAATAACTTTTTATAAACTCCATGGCTTTGAATGATCTGAAGTTCTGCATGATTTCTGAACTATATAATTGTCAGAGAGATACATGTTCAATTAACATATAGATTGATACCTTATATGTGACCTTGACATGGCCTATATAGTATATAAATTATATTCGCTGCTTTTGTTGCAATTTTTTTTTTTGTCACACTTAAATAAAAAAGTGTGAATCTCATTGTAAAGAGAAAAAAGAAAAAAAGTTAGTGTGATTCACATACTTTTATTAGAACGTAACAATTAATTTTTTTTTTGCAGAAAAAACTGAAATATTAATCTCTTAATATATTTTCTATATTTCGAAATGCTTTACACAGCAGGAGCAAGTTAATTGTACACGAGAATCCCACATTTTTTTTCCAACAAAAAGTCTTATAATTTACTCTAAAAATTTATATATTTATTACAATTTACAAATTCGAAGTCATTATTATATTTGATACGTAAAAAATTTAAAAATACAAACATTTCTTGCCAGTCAAAAGAATAAAAAAGTGCTAGTAATTGTTAATATATTATTATATTATCTCCACTAGGTGGGTAAGTGGACTCAATTAGAAAAAGATCTTAATTCCTGTTTTTTTTTTTTACTTGGGTGCCTCGAATTCAATAATTTAATTAAAAAAGGTGAATTATTTATATAATTTATTTTGTATTTGAAAAATAAGAAAAATATTTCTCCTTAAGATGAAATTATTCCCTTATAATTTTAAAATGATGTTATTTTGTGATTTTAATTATATTTTTCTCTTATATTATGATTTTTATTAAAATATTTTATATTTTTTTTGTCAAATTTTAAAATGACATTATTTTGAGTTATAAAAAATAATGCAGGAGAAACTTTAATCGCTTAAAATATTTTGGAATTGAAAGGATTTCTCGAAAAAAATATTCAAAATCAAGCATTGCATTAATTAAGAAAAAAAAAAGAAAATGGAAAAAAACAACATAGGAACCAAAAAGAAATTAAGAGAGAGAGGGAGACAGAGAGCATTGATAGTCTATGTTGCACCGACACCAACACATGACAAGAGATACGATACGACACGACATTTCGATATATTAATTCTAAAAAATATTGAATTTCGATACGTTAGGACACATTTTGATATTATATAATATTTTTAATTTATGTAGTGTATATTATATTTAATATTCAATAATTTAACAAAAAAATAAAACTAAACTTATAATACCCATTAATTTTGTAAAAAAATATAATATATTTCAAATGTTTATATTAAACTCAATATCTAATAGTTGGAACATGTAACCCAACATAATTTTTGAATTTTTTTTAGTCTTTACAATAAATATTAAATTATCGGAAAGTGTCGGAGAACAAACTAGCATGTAATGGTCACTTTCACAATCATCCTTTCATGGTCTTCTCTCAGGGGAATACGGGCTTGTAGTTATAAATCGGTAGAGCCCTCCCGTTAAGGACTGGTTTTGTTGTTCATATGTCAAGGCAGGCGGTTATTATAAGAGAGGTGCCTTAAAGTAGAAACTTTAGCCGATACATGCATAAAAACTGAATGAAGCATCGATGCTTCATAGTTGATTGTAACAAAGAATGGCGAATTGGATGGAGTTGTAAGAGATATGGGTTCGAACTCTTCGCTTGTCCCCGAAATCGGACCCCAGTGATGCTCAGTTACACCGAGCAGGTTCTTCTCTCTCTCTCTCTTTTCATTCTTCAGTCTCTCTCATCATCTCTTTGCTTTTATTTGCGGATCATCGAAGCAGAGCAGCTTCAATTGAAGAAGTAAAAGTTCTCTCTCTCTCTGTGCAGTTGCTAATGCTACTGAAATTATTGTTTGAATTTCAGTTGTTTCGTTTTTAATTTAAATAAACCGGCTTTGATTCTTATTTTTGTTATTGATGGTGCTAAACTATTAATTCTTGATATTCATCAATTTGTCGCTGATAGAGTGATAGTCATTAAAATATGACGAATTGTTATTAATATGTTAACAGAAGGTCTTAGAGTTCATGATTTTTGCTTTAGTGATTAAATATTGGAATATTTAGGCGCATGAATTAATAGCGTTGCAGGGTTGTTAGTGGTGGTGAACTCCTTTTATATCTTTTATAGTTGATTTCTTTTGCTTGATCTCATTGTGCTTTTTAGTCATTCATGTCTTCCGATTCAAAATATTGTTTGAGTAATTGGGTAAGAATTAGGAAGCTATGAAATAACCTTAGTTGTAGGAAAACATAACTGCATTTGAAGGATCTCTAAGTCAAAATCACTCTTACGCCGTTCAATAACTTTTTACTAGATGATTTTACCCCAAAATCTACCCTTAAAAGTTTGGATCATATAGAGCATATCTACAAAATATTAATCCAAAATTGTTTAATACCTCAATGTTATATATCAAGATTATCATGATATATACTTTTGAAATATATGAAATAAAAATCATTTGATTATATTCTTATTATTGTTCAATTTTTACAAGATTTGACACAAACACCGAAGGTAATAGATATTTACAATCAAAACGTTGGATCGATACAAATCACGATCTAGTGTAAACAGATCCCTCCTCTTGTTAAAACATTCAAAATATTATCACTCCTCTTTCATTCTATTTAGTAGAGATGCCAGGAGACAAGGATAAAAAAAAATAAAAAAAAATCAAATCACTCCCCATTGAACCCAACTAGCGAGTGTGGGGTGGATGTAATTCTTGTATACAGCCTTACCCTTGCATAATTGCAAAGAGGCTATTTTCTGGATTCGAACCCATGACCCCTCGATCACGAAAGAACAGTATTACCACTGCTTCGGTTCGTCCCCTTTGCCAGGAGACAAGGATAAACGAGGAAAAAATAGTTAATACTTCCTTGATTTTGCAACACAACTAATAAATTGAAACTTAAAATTTTCTATAGCAACAGATATAATAAAACGGACGGAGTATGTGGAAAAGGAATAATGACTGTATTTTGTGTTCTAAGCCAACATAGTAGAATAGAGGTCTCTATTTTAAAATACAAATTTAAAGATATTTTCAGGTACATTGAAGAAAACTATTCTAAAATTGGTGATGTGGAGTGCGAGCTTGCACATCTTGGATTGGAGATGAAACTTACAGCTGGACCAAAGAAAGCAGGTTTCTGCATGTCATTGATTCCTCTTCTGCCATAACTGAGGTTATTCTTCGCTAGTTATAATTAATGAAATGACTTTGCTCCACTTTTAATACACGATGCATACTTTGAGCACTGGAACTTTTGAGAAAGAAGATAGAGGCATTAACTGAGAGAATTCGTGGGGCCAAGATAAAGGAAGAACAGGCTCGTTAGGTATGTTACTTTAATGTACTAAACTTCTTCTCCTGCAATTTTCATAATATCTATATTTTTCGGTATAGATTCACTGTACTGCAATGTTTCTATGCCACCACCAGAATAGATCATGAAGGAAAAAAAAATGTTAATACAGTCTTGCGCTGATTGTAAACAGCTTGAAAGAAATTTTGAAATGTAAATTTGTTTGTATGTTGGCATGATGAGTAGATACATTCTTACTCTTGCTTATTGATCACATAAATTGAAGATAACTTTTTTTTTAACATTTTACCTCAAGAAGTGCGTGTATATTCCTCTGTTAAACAATAATGGCTTAAACCCACAAGGGGAGTGAATTGTAGTAATTTTTTTTTGCAAAAAACTTCCCTTTTGCCCTTTTTCTAAGAAATCTATAGAAATCGGTCAAGAATAGAAACTAAACCCTTTTCAACCCCAAAATAGATTCAAATCAGAGATAAAAACGCAGCAATATTAGAATCAAAAGCGAAAATTAAAGAGTTTAAGAGTTAGGAGATCAAACACTAGAATTTATCCTGGTTCACCTTTAAACCACTAGAGGGCTACGTCCAGACTGTCGCAAATCGCCCAATGTATTCAACTTCTAACCGGTGCCTGAGAAACTAGATTACAATGGAGTTTTATAAGAATCTTGACCAATCTCGGTCACTCTCTCAACCTATATACCTATAAGATCTCTCCCTTCAATCAAAACTCAGTTCGAGCAACACTTTGAATCAAAATAGATACAAAACAATCTCTCTTTGATCCAATAAAAAAGAAATCTCAGAAGAAACGAAGAAAATAGAGAATTATAGAATTTTCTCTCCAAGTATGCAAAAAGGCTTCAAAACTATCTCAAATTTGAATTCTACGTGATTTTGTGTTTTCAATTGTTAACTCGTACCTAGGAACCCTAGAAATAGGTTTTTATAGAAGTCCAATGAAGATTAAGGCGTTTATAGCCGTTGGACTCAAAATTAGATTATTAATACGCACTGTTACAAATTTACTCGGGTAAATCGCGAAGCCTTACTCGGGTAAATTGTTTATTAGGAATTATTCAGGTAAGTCACTTATGGTTACCCGAGTAAATATTTTATTGGGTAAATGTTCTGATTTACTCGGGTAAACTGCTGAATAGAAACACCAATTAATGCAACCCTCAATCCAATCTTAATCTAAATGATTTCTAAATACTTCTAACACATGAATGAATGTGTCTAGCCTCTGCATATTATCATGTGTGTGTGACTTTGTATGCATGATTGGACTAGGTAGGTTCATTTAATGCATGTTTTTGTGAAGCATGAGTGGATTTCTCGGTAAGTGAGCTCAATATTCCTCATTCCCTTGGTTTCCATACTTAGTTTGTCATTTCTAACTAGGTGAGCTTTTGACTTGGCTCCACTTCCTTGTTCTTTAAGCTTTGAGCTTTTTCGGTCTTCATTTGACTTTTGAGTTGACTTTGAATTTTTGACTTATCTTTCGCTTTTTGCATGTTGCATTTGTCTTCTAACTTCATTTGGGACTTGTTGCACTGAATTTCTCATTGTGCTTGCATGTTGAGCTTGCTTGTGCTTTGCTATCATCAGTATCTTGTTCAACAACTCTTTTCATTAATGGTAAATAAAATCAACTATTTTTTACTTAAATAATGTTCCCTCTTTCTTTTCTTTGT